CGCGAGTGCAGCGACCCCGTGCCGGCCAACGGGGGCTCCTACTGCGAGGGCATCCGCGTCAAGTACCGCTCCTGCAACCTGGAGCCCTGCACTGCTGCAGGTAAGGGCTGGGGATCAGCCTGCAACCACCCCAGGAAACCAAAGCTGGAGGTGCAGGCTGGTGCCCAACACCACCTCTCTGTTGTTTCCAGTGCCAGGGAAGAGCTTCCGTGAGGAGCAGTGCGAGGCTTTCAATGGCTACAGCCACAGCACGAACCGCCTGACTGCCTCCGTCTCCTGGGTTCCCAAATACTCCGGTGTCTCGCCCCGGGATAAGTGCAAGCTCATCTGCCGGGCCAACGGCACCGGCTACTTCTATGTGCTGGCACCCAAGGTTGGTGAGAGACCCCCAGGGTCAGTGCCTGGACTGTGGGATGGCTCCAGTGCCCCTGGAGATGAATAGATTTTCCTTGTCTGGTGGGTGGATGGTGTTAGGTGAGGTGCCACCAGTGTGGTTATGAATCAGCTTGGGGCTGGAGCTGGTCCATGGAGGGTTTTCCTCTGGAAGATGTCATTTTTACCTCTTGTAAAGGTGCCTCTGGCGTATTCCTGTGGTTCTGGTGTAGAGGATGATAGTTTGGGTACTGGGGAAGCAACGGGCAGAGCAGGGCGGCATCCAGACATGGGACTGAGCGGGATGGTGTTAGCAGTGTCCCCTGTGCAGCTTGTTCCCTGCAATGGAAAGGGCAGGAAATTCTGTGGATGGGAGCAGAAAAGGGATGTAGTCCCATCTATCTCTTCTTAGAGACCCCAAAATCCTGCCTGCAAAGCAGAACATGAGCAAAGAGCAACATGGTGCCTGCTGGCACCTCCTCAGGACCTGTCAGATGGATTGGGGTGGGATGGGCACAGCTGGGAGGCCTTGGGAGATATCAGAAGGAAATGCAGCAGCTTGTTTTTCTCACCTGGTTTAGGTTGTGGATGGCACCCCTTGCTCCCCGGACTCCACCTCGGTCTGTGTCCAGGGCAAATGCATCAAGGCAGGCTGTGATGGGAAATTGGGCTCCAAGAAGAAGTTTGACAAATGCAGCGTCTGTGGAGGAGACAACAAGAGCTGCAAGAAGGTCTCAGGCTTGTTCACCAAACCCATGTGAGTGTTTGGTTATCATGTGTGCTTCTCCAACTCCCAGCTCTCTGTTTTGGTGTGGGGGATGCAGGATTGTGGAGATGGTGATGGGATAAATCCATCCCGAGCCAAATCTGCTGGTGCTCATGCACATCACTGCACAGACACCTGGCCCAGCTCTGAAGGAGCTGCAGGACACATTTAATGTCCTGTTGACTTCTGCTGATGGAGTGCTGTTGAGCCAGAGGGGCTGAAGCATCTTCCTGTAACTGGGTGACATCAGCCTATGCAAAACTCAACGCAGCAAGGAAATTCAAACTGATCCTCACAGGAAGAAGACAAAAGTAGGGGTGGGAGGATATCAGGGCTGAAGTAATTCCCCATGTCACAGATAGGAGCTGATTGACATTTCCCAAATGTTCTCTCTTCAGAGACATTTTGGGTAATTGAATCATTACTAATACATTTATCTTTACATGGTGGTTTCCCTCCTGGGAAGCATTTTTCACAATAGAAGATTTCTATCTATATAATATTTGGAATAACATTGATTTGCATAGCATTTTCTTTTTCCCGCATCTTGGGCAAAGGTTGGTGCTTTCTCACTTTTTGCTCGTTCTGTACAGGTTTTTTTCACATATCCATATCTTCTGCATCTGAGGCATGGTCTGTGCATTGTGTCCTGTGCTGATGTCCTGCCCCAAAGTCTCTCCTGTGCCCCAGCCTGCAGAGCAGGCTTTGCCCATGAGCAAGGCAGTCCTATCCGGATAGCTCAATCCCTTTTGGAGACAGTGTCCAAATACCCAGGCCACTCGTAGCCGTGGGTACCTTAAGCAAGCTAAGTGGATTTCAGCTCTTTAGTGATTATCAGTTCTCTTATGATTTCAGCTCTTTGCTTGCTAAGGCACTGGAGGGCTAGGGGGAGAAGCAGATGAGAGAGAGGAGAAGGAGAGGTCCTGGTGGTTCCACAGCGATGGGTTTATTGAGGGGTCTGTGAAGGGTTACAGCAATGGCTCTTCTTCTCCTGAATGGGCTACAACAGCCCTTTTCTATAGGGTACAGAGGGATCCAAACTTGTCCAATAGCAGGGGTTAGGGGAAAGTGACCTATGGGTTACAGAGATAAGCTGGGGTCCGAGCAGCGGAAGACAGGAGCTTATTTTGCTGTCTCATCATGACTCAGCAATTCCTACTGTTAAGTCTCAGCCCTTCACGGCGTCTTAGACAATTTTGCTACACCGCCCTTCCCGCTCTTCCCCTTCAGGCACGGCTACAACTTCGTGGTGGTGATCCCCGCGGGCGCCTCCAACATCGACATCCGCCAGCGGGGCTACAAAGGCCTCGTCAGCGACGACAACTACCTGGCGCTGAAGAACGCGCAGGGCAAGTACCTGCTCAACGGCCACTTCATCGTCTCGGCCGTCGAGAGGGACCTCATGGTCAAGGGCAGCGTCCTGCGCTACAGTGGCACCGGCACTGCCGTCGAGAGCCTCCAGGCCTTCAAACCCATCCAGGAACCCCTGACCCTGGAGGTGCTCTCTGTGGGAAAGATGACCCCTCCCCGCGTGCGCTACTCCTTCTACCTCCCCAAGGAGAGCAAGGAGGATAAATCCTCCTACAAGAAGGAGGGCAAGACCCCGCCGGACCTCAACAACAGCGTGCTCAGCCTGTCCAACCGCCTGGACGGCGGGAGGCCGAGCTACAAGCGGCCCTCGTACAAGTGGGCGGTGGGTGGCTGGGAGGCGTGCTCTGTCACATGTGGCGATGGCTTGCAGAAGCGCTCCGTGGCCTGCCGCGACTCCTACGGCCAGCCGGCCGCCGAGTGCGACGCCGCGCAGCGCCCCGCCGACGTCCGGCTCTGCGGCGAGCCCTGCCCGGCCTGGGAAGCTGGACCTTGGTCTTCCTGCTCCAAGAGCTGTGGTCGGGGTTTCAAGAGACGGGCGTTGAAGTGCGTGGTGCCCAGCGGGCGCCTGCTGCCCCGGGAGAGTTGCAATTTTCGGAGGAAGCCGCAGGAGCTGGATTTCTGCACCTTGAGGCCGTGCTGAGCAGGTCAAGGGGTGCCTGCGAGGAAGGGCATGTGCCAGAGGTTGGGAGTGGGGGAGATGTCCATAGCACATAGCAAAAGGGGGAAAAATAAGAAAAAAACAGGAACAAAAAGGGACCTGGGTGTGGGGACAGCCCCGTGCACCTGGGAGAGAGGGCTTTTACCAGCCAGGTCGCTTGGAGACAGAGCGGGAATGAACATCTACCTCGAAGCCACTGGACGACACGGAAACCACCGGTGGAGGCTGGGAACTGGGGGGACAGATGGAAGCGAGGAGGATCATCCCTGCCTGTGATGGATCTGCAGTACAGGCAGGGAGATGCCCCTAAATTGCACAGATGAAGCCTCCCCCCTCCTTCCCAGGACCAACCCTACCTCCCTTCTCCCTGGACTCCCCCAACACTCATGCTAAATGGGACCAAAAGGATTTACCAATGCAACGACCACCGGTGCGATGAGGCACTGGGACTGATGCCTCCAGGGCTTGCTGCTGGGGAATTTGTTGTCCCAGCAGCATCCCTGGGCCAGGCTGGAAGGTGGTGGCTTTATTTTCATTCTCTCCTCGTGTTTATGACCTGACCAGTGTAAATTTTATGGTGCTTAACTCTGTATTTTTTTAACCTCCTTCCTCCCCTCCTGATGGATGTAAACCTTGCATAGCAGGGCTGGTGTTATTCCCAGGGGATCTCACCAGCCTGAGGTTTCCTATGGTGCTTTGGGATGGGGCTGTGTGAACATCCAGATGCTCCTTTACACCCTGGTCCACCTGAAGCTTTTCAGGTCTTAAAGGCGTCACAGTGGACCTGAGGTTTGAGCTGTCATTCCAAAAAAGCAGCAAGCAGCTGTGCTGTAATTCCACAGGGTCAGACACAGCCCCCCCAGCCACTGAGACCTTGCTTTGCTCTGGAAATGGTGCTCAATGGGACCAGTATGTCATGCCCAGACATCCCATAGCCTCCAGCCTTTAACCAGGCTGGGATATTTTTCCTCTGTGTAAAGCCTGCCTGAGATATCCTGAACTCTGTCAGAGCTGGGGTCACTTCCCTGGCATCCCTTTGGAGCTGATGGAGGAGATCAATTTGGGTCTTTGGCTTTCCTGAGGAAAAAGGGGCTCAGTGGGGTTCAGGCATGCAGGGAATGAGGGACTGTCACACCTCTTGCTGCTGCAAAGCATCTACAACCATTTTCCCCTTCCAGTGATTCTGGGCCTGTTCTGTGCCTCTGGGGTTATTCTGCACCTCTGACAGTTTTGTAGCATCGTGCCTGTTGTATCAGAGGCTGTTTTACCTATCCCGAACCCCATTTATCATTGAGGTCTCTTGCTCAGATCAAATCATCAAGGCACCATTGAATTTTTTGCTTTGTCACTGATGCAGGTGCCTCTTAATCAACGAGCTGTGACTGTGAGCAAGCCAAAGCTTCTGGGTCAAGCTGTGCAGTTACTGGGATCAGCAGAAAGGTATTTTAGGGGTGAGACACAGATTTTGGGTAGGCAGAAGATGCCATCTCAGCAAATAAGGCTTGGAGCCTGCCATGCTTGTTGGAGGTCCAACAAGGAAGCTCTGTTGCCCCTTGGGTGGCTCCAGAAGCTGTGGTCAGGGTGAGAATGACAAGAAATGGGACAGGTGGCACGAGAGTTCCCTTCTTGGGCCTTTGCAGCTGCTCACAAACTCCTTGTGACAATATTTGTGGGCTCAGCCTCCCTGGGGATCCTCCTAGAGGATCCATCTGATGCCTCTTTCAACACAATCATGTTTTAGGTCTCCACAGAGCCAGGAGCAGATGTTGTGGTTGCTCTGCACAGCAGGGAACGGGAGTTAATGTTCTTAGGAAATCCCTTCCAGGTCTCCATTCCCATGAACATACCACCCATTTTCTGGGGGTTTTCCTGCATATCTGAGCCCGCTGCGCTTCCCTCTGGGGACAGAGCTCCGAGGAGCTGCCCTTTGGTGTCCTGCCATGCCACAGCTGCTTTCTAAGCCACCGAGAAATTGTCAGCCTGGTTGCTGAGGAGGGGAGGGATTGCTCGTGTGAGGTTCTTCTGCTGAGGGTGCAGCAGGAGGACGGAGATGCCGACGGTTCTGGCTGCTTTGTGTATACCATGTATACTGAACATCGATCTCTGCTGTTTGTGCGTCAGTAGCAAACCTGAAATAAATCTGTATTTAAAGTTATCCCCACGGGGACACGTTCCTGCAAGGGTTGTTTTGTTGGTGGCTGTGGGGCATTCTTTGTGTTATTGTGAGCCTGAGCCCTTTAGAGTGTCAGCTCATCACCTAAAGAACAAAACTGGCGCCTTTTTGGGCTTTCCTAAAAACAGAGACAAAATTAAGGGAACAAAAAGTAGTTCTATTTATTGAATGGTCTGCAGGTACATTTCAGGCAGACAAAACCCACCCAAAAATGGACAATGGGTCATGGGTTTCACACTTTTATAAGTTTGGTCCATTTGCATTTTGGGGGTGAATCTGCCAATTCCAGCTTCAGCTAATGAAGTCATTGACCCCAAGTTTGCTGCCCCCAACTCCCTTTTGTTTCCATCTCTGGGCCCTGAGGCAGTGAGGTGTCCTTGACTGCCAGGCCTGGAGAGGAATTGTTGTGTCTGCCCAGAATGGGGAAGCAGCAGCTCTCACTGTGTGTGGAGTTTGGAGTTCTGCACTAAAGAACTGCAGGATTGCAAATAGATGGAAAATATAAAAGCTTTAGTTATAGACTGAAGAACTGCAGGATTACAATTTCATAATTGTTCCTTTCCCTTCTGCTTCTTTCTCACACCTTCACTGCCACCTTTATGGGGGAATTGTGTCATTGCTGTGGTTTTGTGGGCTTTGCTTTTCAGAGGGAAAGGGATGGTAAGCACCTTTTCTAACCCAACAGCCAAGCCCTCAAGCCTCATTTTCCATCTCGTGCATCCTCCCTGAAACATATGAAAAATGTAAAAGCTAAAATCCTAAGGCATCAAAGACAAGCCCTTTATAAGCCCAACAGGTTTATTGTAATTTGGTTCTGATTTGGGCTTTAGAAGCCCAACAGGTTTATTCTGATTTGGTTCTGCTACAGGATTGGTTACTGGTAAAAAGGAAACCCAGCCTGAAGGAGCCCTGGTGAATCAGTTCCTGTGAGCCCCAGGGGAACTGGGGATGCTCATTGAAGGCGGCTGGTTTGCCTTAGGCTTGAATCAGGATGTTCTTTTGTCAGGCTGACAGGAATATAGAGTTAAAATGATTGATGTAAACTGGAACAGCACTCACATCCTGAACAACCCTGTCTGTGTGCTCCTCCTAAAACTCTCAGCACACCCTCCCTGAGTCAGAGCCCTCTCTCTGCCTGTTGTGCTGGGGCCAGTGCTGAGATAAAGCCTTTCCTGCTCCTGGGCTGTGTCAGCTCAGGGATGCCTGATGTCACCCCCCAGCTCTCAGCAGGTTGCCTAGGATTTTATTTTCCCCCAGCAAATGCAATTTATTCCTCCAGCAAATGCAATTTATTCCCCCATTATGTTGTAATGATTTGGCAAATTTCATGTGTTTTATTGGGGAAAAGCTCAGTTTGCTTTCCATCATCACAGAATCCCAGAACAGCCAGTGTTGGAAGGGACCATGGAGATCATCTCCTTCCATCCCCTTCTGCCACAAACAGGGACATTCCACTGTCCCAGGGTGCTCCAAACCTGGCCTTGGGCACTTACAGGGATGGGGCAGCCACAGCTGCTCTGTGCCAGGGCCTCATCACCCTCACAGGGAACAATTTCTGTGTAATGTTTAATCCTATAGAAACAGACACAGCTGAGAACCTTCCCCATCAGCAGCTCCTACAGAGAGGAGCTCCCCTCACAATAAAGTTTTCACTTTCACCCCAAATATATCCCACACTGCAAAGGCAACAGCTGCAAATGGCTTTATTGGGAGCAAGGAGGGAGGTTCCCACCTGTTACAGCCAGAACTTTTGCCTCAAGTATCTGCTCAGGAGCAGAAAATTAAGTTAAAACTAGTACCTTGCTCCTCCAGGTGACAGCTCCACACTTTTAACCAGATGCCCTTAAAGATCACCCCGAGAGAGAAAAACCCCACACAATCCCCAAGTATTTACCTGATATATATATATATATATATATATATAAATAAATATTCACCTGGTGTGTATATATATATATATTTATATACACACACACACATATACCTGGTATATATATATATACATATATATACACCAGGAAAATATAAATTATATATCTATATATATATGTATATCTAAAATTATACATATAAATACATAACGTATAAATAATACTATATCATTAATAATAACTAATAGCATTATTAATATAATATATAATATATAATGTATATTTTAATATATAGCATTTAATTATTTATGAATTTTATTTATTATAGAAATTTAAAAAATGAATATGTGTATATATACATACACATACACATACATATATATATATATATACACACACACACATACATATATATATATATATATAAAATATATAAAAATAAGATATATATATTTAGCTGGTGAGGAAGAAATAAATCCAAGATCAAGGCCAGGGTCACCCTATGGAAGGGAAGGGGGGTGTTTAGGCAGGGAAAGCTGGTGCTGGCTTAGTTGGTGACACAGGTTTTGTTCTGCACCTTTATCAAGCCTCAGGGCACAGGAACAGGCTCCTGGTGCAGGAGGAATGATGTGGAGCATCAGATTTTCTGTCTGAAAAGAAGGGCTGGCTTTTCCCACTCTCATGAGATGCTGCATTCGATGCTTTTCTGGATTCCTCATTTTCCAGCACTAAAAGGTTTTTTATTGTTTCTTCCCTTCGCTGCGAATTTGTCGTGTTTGGACTCTCCAGTACCCAATAAAAGACTGACCTGGCTGCTTTTCCCTTCAGGGGACACTGCTGTGCCTTCACCTGCAGGGAAGGGAAGGTCAGGATGGTCTGATGGAGCAAGAGGCAAGAGACCCATCCCCTCAGGCCAAGGAATCCTGTCCAGGAATCCCCAGTTTTGGTCCAAATCTCTCCCTGGCTGAAGATGCTTTGGGCAAAGCACCCCAAATGCCTTTAGGGAGCTAAAACTCACTCCTGCCTCTAGGACTGCCTGCAAATCTGCTGGTTTACATTTGTCCTATGCTGAAACCCAAAAAGTTAAAAAATTTTAGTAAAAAAGGGATTACCTGGAGTTTAAGGGAGAGGAACTATGGAGGGAGAAGGAAATGCTCCTGCCTCATCTGCTGTTTTGTCCAGGGCTTCGACGTGGCTGTGGATCAGCTCCCTGGGGCTGGGATGCTGCCTTGCTATTTTTACATCCCTACATACACACACACACATAAATATATATTACTGCCATCACTATTAATAATAATTATAATTACTGGGCTTTGCCAGGAGACAAAAGCAAAACCAGACGTGCGTTGAGCGAACGGAGCTAATTGATAACACATGTCCTGCAGAAAACCTCTCCTGGGAGAACACAGAAACTGGGAAGGGCTCTGCTGTGCCTGGGAAAAGGGGAATGTTCACTTGAGCCTGGGGATGTGAAGCAGAATGTGAGCGGGGCCAGGATGTGAGACCCCAGCCCCTCTCCCCATTCCCTCATCAGCCCCTCGGTGATAGCACAGCCATGGCTGGTTCCTTCTGGAACAAACGCTGCTCCTCAGGCAGGAAAGGCTTTTCCTCGCTGTGGAAGCTCTGGGAATGCTCTGGATGCTGGTCAGGCAGGCAGAGGGAGGCTGGAGAGCTGCAGTGCCTGGGATGGAGAGGAGCCCCAGCGCGGTGTGGGACCAGCTGGAAGCGATGCCAAGGCCCCGCAGTGCCGACCCCCCAGCCCTTGCAGCAGACTAAACTTCCCCTGCTGTCCTCCCAGCCAGCAAACTGACACGTTCCCACAAGCATTTCTGCTGGTTTGGGTTTGTTTCTTTTCTTTTTTCTTCTTTTTTTTTTTTTTTTGTTAATATTTTTTTTCTAATTATCCAACACGGTCGGTGCCAAGTTTGCCTGTCCAACACTAATCTGGCAGGCAGAGCTCGTGGATTTGTGGCAAGCAAACCCCCACTTCTCATTGACCAGAGGATTTTATCTTTTTGGAGGTCTCCATCACATACTTTCAGTGCTGTAAATGCAGAATTCTCAGAGAAGTGATGGCAGGAGGAGCGAGACGGCGTCAGCATCTCTGAGGGAATGAGCTGAGTAAATCAGGCAGCTGTTAAAGATTATAATCCCTAACTAGGTAAAAAACCCTGGAAATTGCAGCCATGGGGTGAGTGGTGAGAGCTTTCCAGCCAACTCCTGGGGAAGGTGCTGCCTTTGGATTTAGCCTAATTAATATCAAGCTCAGCCAAGCAAGCCTGGGAGGTGGATGGGCTCCCAAATGGTTTTTTAATGTGCTATGATTATTTTTTAAAGGTTTCTTTATTTTCCCCCCACTTTTAAATGAATTTAGTGCTGGTGAAAGGTGTTGGATTGACAGCCCTGGAAATATAAGTCCTCAAGGAACAATGTTTTGGAGTTGTGAAGGGAACAACACTGTGTATAACCAAGATGTAAAGGTAATTATTTGCAGTAACAGCTGCTTTTTGCTCTAAATTAAAAAATAGAGACCACAGGGATTTGTCAGAGCATCTGAGACATTTTCAGGTGACTGAAGCATTGGGCACAGTCAGAGCTGGCTAAACACACTGTCCCCGAGCTGCTGAGGCACTCAGGGCCACGTTTCAGTATTTAATTGCTATTTTCACTTTAAAAACTGCACATTTTGGCAGCCCAGTTGAGCAGGGACCTCAGCACCTCCCTGCTCAACAAAAGCCTCCAAGCAGAGCTGGATGCTTCCACTGAGGCTGAATCAAAGCCTTTGGGGTGTTCAGAGAGGAGAAAATACCCAAAATATATCCCTCCCCACCACACAAATCGTGTGCTGTGGGCCTTTTCTGCAGCTCTGTCACTGAGAGTGTTTCCAAAGGGCAGCACCCAGGCTCTGGAGAGTATAAACACATCTCCAAATGGTGCTCACTGCAGAGAATCAGCCTGACAGAGCCAATTAAGGACCTCTGTGCTCTCCATGGGCAGCCCCAGCTGTGGAAAGCCAGGCAGGAGGAGCAGGGAAGGACACCTGGACCAGGGGTGGAGGGAAGGAAGCAGCAGGATGGTGAGGAGGAGGCTGTGTCTATCAAAGCACGGC